GACTTCTATATCATGCTAAATCTCCACGTATCAATCTCAGCTTCTTTCACCTTCTTCTTAACCTATAATTCTTTTTGGTTTGACCTCCTGCTGTTTTCTAAGTATTTACCAGTCAATTTTCTGGTTCGCTTCCTCCATTTTGTATCGATATTATTCATGTACAAGTAGCTGAATACCTTCCTAGCCCAACGCTCCTCTCCCATTTCTCTCAATCGCTTCTCAAATTTTATCTTGCTGCTAGCTTCCCTGCCCTCAAATGATGTCCATCCCATATCACCTTGTACTCCCTGATTTGGTGTATTCCCGTGAGCTCCTAAGGCAAACCTACCTATGACATGTTGCTTAATTTCTAATCTTGCTTTAACTTCTGATCTCATGCACAAGACCGCATTGCCGAACGTCAAACCAGGAAACATGACCCATTTTTATATTCCTCTCACAATATCATACCTATTGTAATTCCACAGTGCCCTGTTTTTCATTACCGCTGCATTCCTGGTACCTTTAGTCGTCACGCATATTTCGTGTTCCCTTAGGTACTCGGCCCCATTACTTATCCATACGCCCAGATATTTGTATTTATCTGTTATATCTAGCGTGACCTCCTGTATTCTAAGCTCACTACCTTCATTATTATTAAAAATAATGACTGCTGATTTTTCCGTACTGAATCTGACATCTAACCTATCTCCCTCATTACCGCAGATGACCAACAATCTCTGCAAATCTTACTTGTTGTCGGCAATTAGCACTTTATCACCTGCGTACATCAATGCTGGTAGTGCCTGTTCAATGAGTTTTTCTTGTTTGACGAAAGATAGGTTGAAGCCCACTCCACTTCCCTCTAATTTGGCCTCTAATCCTTGTAGGTACATCATGAATATTAAGGGTGACAAGAAACACCCCTGCCTAAGCCTCCGTTTTACCTCTGCGGGCTTGGATACCTGTTTTTCCCACTTTATAACTACCTTGTTTCCTTTATATATATCCTTTAAAATATTAGTGACTACATCTTCCACGCATAGTGTGTCCAGTATTCCCCACAATTCCTCTTGAACCATGCTATCGTATGCTCCCTTGATATCCAAAAATGATAGCCACAGGGGCCTGTCTTCTTTTTTCCGCTATTTCGATGCACTGCATCAGTGAGAACAGATTGTCTTCCAACCTCATGTGTTTCCGAAACTCATTCTGCAGTTCCCCCAGCATCCCCTCATCTTCTATCCATGCCTGCAGTATTTCCTTTATAATCTGCATTGCCAGCCTGTAGACCGCTGATGTCACTGTTATAGGACGGTAGTTGTTTATGTCAGCTTTGTCCCCCTTTACTTTATAGACCATGCTCATCCTGCTAAGTTTCCATCCATCGGGAACTTCACCATCGATTATTATTTTGCTCACTGCCTCTCTCAAAGCCTGCTTAGACTTCGGACCTAATGTTTTTATTAGCATAACTGAAATGCCATTTGGACCTGTTGATGTACTATTAGGAACCCTTTTCTCAGCCCTTTCCCGCTCTCGTTGTGAAAATGGAGTCATTGCGCCACTTGATTCATCCTTGTATATTGTGGTGCACAAAGCACTTCTTTGTTGAAAATTTTCTGTCACCCTTGTTCTTATATATTCCGTAGCTTCGTTTTCTTCTAGCATAGCACCTTGAGCTGTAGTTATAAACCTCTGCTCTAGGCTTGTCTCATTTCTTAGGGAGTTTAGATGGTTCCAAAATTTGGCAGCTGCCTTTCTATCTTTGTTATGTACTTCTGCCAGCTACTGAGCTCCCTTTCTTCTAATCTTTTCATTGATCAGAAGGGATGCATCCTTTCTACAGCTTAGAAAGATTTTCCATTTTCTTTCAACATCATCGGTAGGTTGAACCCGCTGCTTAGCATGTCTGCGTTCTCTAGAGGCTGCCTGGCGTTTTGCTATGGCTCTCTTAACTTCGTCATCCCACCAACTTTTGGGTTTGTGTCTTCTTTTTCGAGGTGTCTTGTGACGTGCCTTAGCAAGCTCTAGCTCAAGCAGTCTAATTATATTCGTGTATGTCCGCACTGTTTTAATATACTCAGTGATTACTTTCTCAATTTGTTTAGTGGCTATTTGAATTTGCCTTTCTGAATAAAAATTTTCCGGTAGTTGCTCATGTTGCCTCTTTCCCACTTTCACTGTTCTTCCAAAACTTAGGTTGATCCGTTTGTGATCACTACCCAGACTTCTGGAGCCACCGTCATCTATGTGTATTCCCCTGAACTTATCATACACCCTATGTGACATCAGTGCGTAATGTATCGTCGACTTCAGCCTTCCTACCTCCCATGTTATTTGCCCTTCACACTTCTCGGTGCTGTTGCAAATGATTAAATCAAGCCTTTCACACATATCCATGATCATTTTGCCTGTCGGGTTAGTATACCCATCTACATCTTCTATGTGCGCATTCATATCTCCTAGTATAATTATCTCGCACTCTCCTCCTAACTCCTGAATGTCATTTGATATACACTCTAACATTGCCTGGTTTTCCTCTCTGGCCTTTGCTCCCGTCCACAAGTACACGAAACCAAGGAGAGTCATTTGCCCTGCCACTTTCCCTTTTAGCCATAAATGTTGCTTGCATACCTGCTTGACCTTTTCCAGTCTGTACGTTTATGAATAAATGCTCCAATACCACTCCGCTTTCTGCTGCCTTCTGTTCTATTACAATATTCCCACGCGTAGCCCGGATTGTTAGGAGGTTGTTCCATGTCACTGAGATGTGTTTCTACAAAACCGTATACCATCGGCCTCTCCTCCCTTAGCTGTTCTTCTATCTCTTCCCTCTTCAGCCTGTTCCCACCACCCTCCATGTTAATATACCCTATGTCTGAATTCGCTCGGCGCTCGTAGCTACGTCTATTTCTGCCCCGTACTCTACCTATCCTAAATACTGGTGCCACTTTGGAATCGTATCTGTCCATACCACCTGTCAAAGAGTCTCCCTGGTTGTTTTCCCCGTTACAAGCTATCCTGCACCCGAAAGGGCCCGCTTGCCCCCCAAAAAAGCTACTGCGCGTCCTGCAAGTCGCCAACCCACCTCATGACCTAGCCGCCGATTGAAGTGAATTCTGTCTCGCTGAAAACCACCCCACCTATGCACCTCTCTGTTTATTTCCACCACCTCAAAGCCTTTCTCTCGACTCATCCGCCATATATCTTGGTTTGCATTGACAACCGCTCTTTGCAGGTTGCTATCACGCACCGGTACCTCCAGTATCGTGCATATTAGTACCTGTACCTGAGGAGAAGTGGCGCTCATGCAATCGACGCTTTTCGCCAGTGTGGTCGCTAGTCCTGCTGTATCTCCATTTAAGACATCGTTTAAACCACCTCAAATTATCACGAGGTTTCGTCTATCAGCTGTAGTTTTGAGTTTTGCACTCGCTTGCTGATGACTGCTTGCAGCTTGCGTCCTGGGAACGCCCCTATTGCAACCCTCTTGTCACCTCTTACCCTCTCTTTGATGGCTTCTGTGCATCAATTTAGATTCAAGTACCCGGCGATTATCACATGCTGCAACTTTTCAGCGGGAGTGTCCTGCACTTGGGAGTTACTTGCACCTGTGACGGCACGTGCTTTGTCCCCTCCCAGCTCCACCACAACTTTGCTGAAGCTGGGCTTTGTGACAATTGAACCGGCTGAGCCTGTTTTTTCCAAACTTGCTTGCTCTTTCTTCTCCGCCATTCTGGTTGCCGGTTCCCTACTGTTCTCTCTATAGGCCGCTCCTCTGTTCATCTTGGCTAGTGCTTCCTCGGCGGACTTCAGCATTTCTCCCATTGCCCTCGTTTTCTCTTGCTCTGTCGCCAACGCAGTCTCGGGCTCGGCGATCCTTATCAGCAGTTCACTCTAGGCAACCATCATTTTCTCCATTTTTGCCTCGACCTCATATTGCCTACACTTCGCGTCAGCCTGTTCTCCTTCCTCTTCTACACTTGGGTCCACTTTCAAACCCACCCCGCATCCTGAACACTTTACAGTCTTTTTAACCATGTGTTTCTAACAGCAATTGTTCCTTTGGCTTGTCTCACTCGATAATTACAAAACTCGAGCTCTGCCCTGCGAAAAAGAGAAAGTCCAAGCTCTACTACAAAAATTTCCGTGTTCAATGTACGTGCACCTCCTCCAAGGGGTGGCTAAAGAAAAAAACCAACAAAAAACAAAAAAGTTGTACACACACGCACGCACAAACTAATGAATACCTGCTGATTGACCCCCGAAAAATCCGTGCAATAAAATGGCTGCTAAGAAGACTTTAACTGCTGCCTTATAATTATAAAGACAAGCTCAAAACATGCAAAACCACTTATCTGCGCAGTCGATCGGGAGTGCTCAAAAAACACGTCCATCCACCATGACAGTCTGAACTGAACCACTCCCCCCCCCCTCCCGCGATGCGAGCACCCTTACACGCCAAAGCGCGCTTATCCCTCAAGTGAAACCCCGCAACTCCACCCACACCACTCCCTCCGGTGGTGAGGGGCGAGGATAAGCACGCGCCTGTAGCTGTTGCTATAGCAGAGTGAGAGCGTAGAGATAACACCTGCCAGCGTGCGGACACAGACAGACACCGGACATGCCAACACCGAAAAATTCATCGCATGATAAAAAAACTCAGCCATTCTACTCTTAAACATGCCCTCTCCGAAAAATATTGTTGTTGATGGTCTCCGTTTTGAACAGATTCTCGATTCTTTAGGGAACTGGTGTGGAGTAGCAGGCCTTGCACGATTTCTCTGTCACATAAGTGCGAGCATTGTTGTATTCTAATCATCTCTGCTTTAACAGCTGCACTGTAAAACGTTTGCGTATTTGGACAGCTTTTATTTTCTCCTTTATTCTCAGCCATCTGACCCTGTAGCCTTACGCACAGTTGGCCCTGTAATCAAATGTAAAGCCATCACGGGAATGCCTATGGAAATAGAATGAGAGACCGCGTGCCTTTCCTGAAGCCTCCTACATTTACTCACCCAACGAAAAGGTTATAATATGCGTGGGTCTGATAGACGGTGCGGTGCCGTCGGGTCCGATGAATCGCGAAGGGTTGAACTTCTCTGGCTCCTTCCATAGCTCGGTACTCTGGTGCACAGCCCAAAAGTTGGGCAGCAGTACGGTGCCCTTGGGAACGTGGTAGCCACCGATCACCGTGTCTTCCGCGACTCTGCAGGAGTGGATATAGACAGCATACATGAAAGGACCACAAACAGAGCGAAACATGGCCGCTGACGGCGCACGCTATAGACCAAAACGTGTCGCGTATCGTTTATTTTTTCTAGACAAACAGAATACCTTCCGATGTCACTGTGTAATTTGGCCCACTCAACGGACAAACCGTTTAACAACTACAATGATTAAAAAATGAAAATCCTATTAGATTTTTCTTAAATACCACTGTCTCTGAAGCCTGAGGTTCTTTATTTGCGCTTTCTCACCAAAGAATTATTATTATTATTATTATTATAATATTAATATTATTATTATTATTTTGATTAATAATAATAATATTATTACTAATTCACTTTTTACCTATTTGTTGTATTGTGTGCACGGAAGTACTGCAACATTGATATAACGAGAAGCCAGACACTGCCTTAAAACTAAGTTCCAAAGAGTCGAATTTTTAATGATTGAAACAAAGTTTGAGGTTCCACAGGGAAATGGAAGTATCACCATGAAATTGTTGACAGCGTTATGAAAAATGCTGATGAAATGGACCAAGGCACACTCCTTATTTCAGACAAGTTTCTTAATAATAGCAAACTAGCTTAATTAGGACGCACTTTTAATATTCGCCAAATAGCTACAATATTTTTCAAAAACATCGCACTATAGCACTCTTTTCCATAGTAGCGTTTTTTATAGTAGCACCATAGTAGCGTTGTATGGACTTGGGAGGAAAGTGTTTTCCGAAATGAACGTCGTTGTTTGTTGCCACGTCTTTGCTCTCTGTCTGGATTTGTACTGCTCTGTTTTTTTCGATTTCTACGTTTTATGGCTTATGTAGTTTACCTAGTACTCTTGCTAACTGATTGCCTCAGAGTCACCTCTCTTGAGCCACCACGCGCCGTGCAACAAAGATCCAGGGACTTATTCATGTCAGCCTATCAACCTGTTCAAGTCTGTCAACACTCATGGAGGTTTTTTCCTTATTTATTTTACCCTCAGCGTTGGCGCACAACAAAATAAAGGAGAATGTCACATATCCAAATGGGAAAGAACACTAGATACAAAACTTAATAATGAAACTTGAACCATCTACAAAATATACAAGGTAGATGACCAATCAAAGATGTCAACAAAAAGACGTTGCGATAAGGATAATGCATGTAATTCATGTTGAAGAACTAAACAAAAAATATTTAGAAGGCAGGGAAGAAGAATAAAAAAGAGGACGTGAATAAAAATTGCATCAAATAAAGTTAAATTTTTCTTGTATCAATTTAGCGCGAAGACTATTGCGTGTATACGTGAGAATAGAGACAGCTTATTGCTCTGGAGTACATCGTACTCTAAATCGTCCAACATTTCTTTTACACACAAAAGAGTGACAAACACATGTTTCAAAAAAATCTTTAAAACCTGATTTGTCGGTGATAGCAGTAGCCCATTGTGTCAATAGATTAGATTCGTATATAGTTCTTCATACGAGTGCAGAGTAGCTTATAGCTCTGCAACAAAAAACATGAACAGTTTTAGCAGCTCGATTTTCGGTTGTCTAAAAAAGGGGATGTAACAAACTGTTCTCGAAGGTTATATGATAATACAGATGCTTGGGCTAGTTGGTGATTGGGAATCAACATATTTGCACAGCAATGCAATAGGTGGCGCGATTACGCGGTGATGTTCTGTCCCGGGTGTATATTTCCAGCCTTTTCGCTAATAAAATTTCAGTTGAATTGAGCGCTCTTTATGTCTGTGTCTCTTCTTCTGTAGTTACGTCGTAATTACTCGTAGTTTTGCGCTGTGCAAATATTTCGGTGGTTAAAGTTGTGATAATAAAGCTTATGAAAGAGACTGAGCCGGGATATTTTACGCTGAATGGCGAGTTCTTGACGGTTAAGCTGGGACATCATTAGAGCGACATTGGAAGATCGGTTTTAGTGGGATATATTTAGGCGAATCGAACGATTCAGAGTAAACAATTGCCGGAGCTTTGATTTTTTTGTTTGTGTTACCACCTTGATCCCGGATGGATGGTGCATGCTCAGGTGACTTTCTAATTGTACGATGAATGAATGATCCATATTGAAGTATCTACCGTCTTGACTGATCAGCCCAGGACGACCCCCAGCGGACGGCTCCTATATGTGTATTGGATAAACAATAAAGTTGAATATGTGAGGAGGTTTATTAGCCGTTAAAGACAGCGACGAGACAGCGTGAAGAACCGTCCAGTGATCGGCACAGCAACGAACTGAAGCACGAGCCGAGAGATTCGGGCGTTGTCGATGCTGCTTGCTGCAGGCACATCTTCTTCTTCACAATCGCCCCCGCTGAAAAAGGAGCCATCCTGGCGACCTAAGAAGTTTCAGGGAGAGGCTCATGATACGCTTTTAGGCGGGAAACATGGACGATGTCACGTGCATGCCGGCGCATGTCATCCGATCGGGAAACTGGCTCAACTAGGTAATTAACCGGAGAGGTTTTCTCTAAAACGGTGTAAGGCCCCTCGTAACGGGGGACAAGTTTTGATGAGAGTCCCGGAGTTTGGTATGGGATGGCAAGCCACACGAGAGACCCTGGGGCATAGTTGGGATCCGGAAGAGAGGTGCAACGGTTTTCTTTCTGGCGTTGCTGCTCGTCCGAGGTGAACGCGCGGGCGAGCTGGCGGCACTCTTCGGCTTGTCGAGCTGCATCGGAGATAGGTGGACATTCGGAAGCATCAGAACAGTAGGGAAGTAGAGCATCAATTGTATGGGAAGGGTCACGTCCATAAAGAAGGAAGAAAGGTGAAAATCCCGTGGTTGTTTGTATTGCAGTATTGTATGCGAATGTGACGTATGGGAGAACACGGTCCCAGTTGCTATGATTAGATGCCATGTACATTGAGAGCATATCACCCAGCGTGCAGTTAGACCGTTCCGTTAGCCCATTAGTCTGCGGGTGGTATGTTGTCGTTTTCCGATGAATGACGTGGCATTCCGAAAGCAGTGCTTCGACGACCTCGGAGAGGAAAGCGCGGCCTTTGTCACTAAGGAGCTCTCGAGGTGCGCCATGTCGAAGGATAAATTGACGTAAAATGAAAGAGGCCACATCCTGAGCGGTAGCGCTCGGTAAAGCGGCTGTTTCGGCGTAGCGTGTTAGATGGTCGACCGCCACTATATTCCACCGATTGCCATCTGGTGTCAATGGAAGGGGGCCGTAGAGGTCAACGCCAACGCGATCAAATGGCTTGGCAGGGCACGGAAGTGGCTGCAATTCGCCAGTCGCACGTAGCGGTGTTGATTTGCGTCGCTGGCAGTCAGGACAGCACTGCACAAATTTGCGTACAAAATTTTACATGCCGCGCCAGTAATAGCGATGGCGAAGGCGTTCATATGTTTTAAAACCCGGCGTGGCCACATTGTGGATCGTCGTGAAGAGAGGCGCATACCTGCGATCGTAAAGTGCGTGGAATGACCAGTAGCCACCGGCGGCCATCAGGGGAGTAGTTACGTCGATGAAGAAGTTGATCGCGGATAGCAAAATGGAAGGCTTGACGTCGGAGGGATCGAGATACCGGAAGGTTGGGCGTACCGGATAGATACCCGAGAAGAGATGCGATCCACGGGTCACGACGTTGTTCGGTGGCAATTGAGTCAAGATTTAACGATGACAAGGTCTGCAGGCACGTGTTTCCGCACGTTGGATCTGGTGGCAAAGGTGAGCGGGACAGGGCGTCAGCGTCAGAGTGTTTGCGTCCGCAGCAGTATACGACGCGAATGTCGTACTCCTGGATGCAGAGTGCCCATCGCGCAAGGCGGCCAGAAGGGTATTTCAGCGTGGAGAGCCAGCAAAGCGCGTGGTGATCAGTTACTAGATTGAACGGGTGGCCGTATAAGTACGACCGGAACTTTCCAAGCACCCACACCAGAGCCAAACACTCTTTTTCTGTCACGCTGTAATTAGTTTCGGCTTTCGTCAGAGTGCGGCTAGCGTAGGCTACAACGTATTCTGAATAGCCGGGTTTTCGTTGAGCGAGGACAGCACCTAGCCCGACTCCGCTGGTGTCGGTGTGCACTTCGGTAGGAGCCGTCGGGTCGAAGTGGCGAAGAAGAGGTGGGGAGGTGAGCAGACGGCGCAGAGTGGTGAAGGCAACGTCACATGCAGGGGACCAGGAGGAGAGGTTCACGTCACCGCGAAGAAGCTGGGTTAATGGTGACATGATGGATGCAAAATTGCGAACAAAACGACGGAAATATGAGCATAGACCTACAAAACTGCGAAGTTCCTTCATGGTCGTAGGCTTGGGAAATTCTGCGACTGCTCGAAGTTTTGCTGGGTCAGGTAATACGCCGTGCTTCGACACGATGTGGCCTAGGATGACGAGCTCGCGTGCAGCGAAGCGGCATTTTTTCAGGTGAAGCTGCAGGCCAGCGTTGGTCATACACGTCAAAACGTGCCTGAGGCGAAGGAGGTGCGTAGGGAAGTCGTTCGAGAAAACCACGACATCGTCGAGGTAGCAGAGGCACATATTTCACTTGAGACCACGTAGCGTATTATCCATAAGTCGTTCAAACGTGGCGGGCGCGTTACAAAGCCCAAAGGGCATGACGTTAAACTCGTATAGTCCGTCAGGTGTAGAAAATGCAGTTTTTTGGCGATCGGTTTCAGCCATTGGTACTTGCCAGTAGCCAGACCGCAAATCTGGCGACGAGAAGAATTCCGCTTCGTAAAGGGTGTCAATGGCGTCATCAATGCGCGGCAAAGGATATACGTTCCCACGGATTATCTTATTCGAACGACGATAGTCCACGCAAAATCGGATAGATCCGTCTTTCTTACGCACCAGGACGACAGGAGACGACCAGGGACTGTGACTTGGTCGAATGACGTCTCTACGAAGCATATCTTCGACTTGATCGTTGATGACGCGGCGCTCTTCAGTGGAGACACGGTACGGTCTTTGACGCAGTGGCTGGTGTAGGCTGGTGTAAACATGATGCTTGACTTGTGACGTGCGGCCTAGTTGAGGTTGGGACACATCGAAAGAATTCCGGAACTCATGCAGAAGATCAAGCAGGTTGGCATGTTCGGTGGGAGTGAGGGTGTCGGCGATGGCGCTGGAAAACGTATCCCTGGACGACTCCTCGAGGGCTGACAGTGATTTTGGGTGGTCGCAGTAGTCATCTGGGACATCAACCAAAGACGAAGAGTCGAGATCCTGCACGCGGCCGAGACATTCCCCCGCAAGCAAAGTGACAGGTGTGGAAAGTGGGTTGAGTATGAACATATTGCTTCTTCCGGCGGCAAGGTCAATTGTTGCGAAAGGCAGCAGCAGAGCTCGACGACTCGTGAAGATATCGGAAGGCATAAAGAAGACTGTAGCGTCAGTATAGGCGTTGCATGAAACTGGCAGAAGTGCGAAATTTTCAGGTGGAATATCGGTATCTTCATGCACGAACAACTTCGGCGGCTGATGAAGAGCGCCAAGTAATAGGACACCACAAAAGGGTGAAAACTCAACTTCAGCGCGTGCGCAGTCGATGACGGCATTATGGCGGGATAGGAAGTCTCATCCGAGGATGACATAATGCGAACAGACAGCGAGGACAATAAACTCCACAATGTAAACAATGCTTTCGATGGACACTCTTGCAGTGCAGGCTGCGAGAGGCGTTACTTGCTGTGCACTTGCGGTGTGGAGTGACAGTCCCGGAAGCGGCGTCGTGACTTTACGTAATACATGGCAGACATTAGCGGCAATAACAGAAACAGCGGCGCCGGTGTCTACAAGGGCGAAAGTAGAATAACCTTCAACAGTTATTGCGACCACGTTAGCAGGAGAGGGGCGAGGGCTTAGACAGTTCGAAAATGGCGCAGTTCTTGCCTCGAACTGCGGTGCTTAGTTTTCCTGATCAGAAGGTCTGGGCCGGCGACGCATGGGGGAGGGCGATCGCCGACGAGGAGAGGGTGCGCGCGGCGTCACGAAGTCGGGGTCGTTGGGAGGGGCATAGCGAGGTGATGAGACCGGCCCGTATTGCGCGAAGGGTTGGCTGCCGGGTTGCGACGATCGGACATAGTCGCCGAACGTCTGAGCTCGACGGCGGCAGTAGCGGCCAACGTGTCCGGGAGTACAGCAGGCGTAGCATATTGGTCTGTTATCGGGCGTCCTCCAAGAATTGGCGACTGGTGGGGCCGCCCAAGGTGCAGTATAAGCAGCCGGGTGTGCGGGCTGTGAGCGCGAGGTGTAGGGTGGTTGCGGAAGCCTGCGCACAGCGTCTGCATATGTGAACAGCGCTGATACAGGCTGCATCACTTGCGAACAGGCGACAGGAGGAGCCACAGGCTGCGCTGCATACGTTAGGGGCGCGGCCACAGGCTGCACGGCTGGCGGATAGGTGACAGGATGGCCTACCGGCTGCGCGACACGCTGGCAGTGAACACGGCTGGATAGAGGCGGCTCGTGGTGCGCAACAGGAACAGCTTGGGCAACTTCTTCTGAAATAGCAGTGCGAAGCGGGGCAGGTAGATGGGTGGTGGTCTCGTGAGTGAAGGGCACTAGAGAAAGTTGGCGGGCGACTTCCTTCCGGACGAAGGCTCGAACTTGCTGAAGCAACGGTGAATTGTCAGACAGGGTGTCGAAACTGGACAGTGACTCACCACCATGCTGAGGCTGCCGAGTCAGAGTGCGTTGCTTCTTCAACTCGCCGGAGCTCTGACACAAGCTGACGACTTCGGAAACTGTGCTCGGATTTCTTTCCAAGAGCACTTGAAATGCGCCGTCGTCTATGCCCTTCAGGATATGTTTGACCTTGTCAGATTCGGGCATGGTGTCATTCGCACGTCGACAAAGGTCGACGACGTCCTCAATATAGCTGGTAAAGGTCTCGCCAGTCTGCTGAGAGTGGACGCGCAAGCGCTGTTCTGCCCGCTGCTTGCGGAAAGCCGGCCGACCGAACACTTCAGCACATGACGTCTTGAAGACGCTCCATGTGGGGGTGTTGTGTTTGAGGTTATTAAACCACAATTTGGCGACGCCAGTGAGATAAAATATCACGTGGCCCAGCTTGTCGGCTTCATCCCACTTATTGTTGGCGCTCACCAGTTCGTAGTGCTCGAGCCAGTCTTCGACGTCGGTCCCATCCGCACCGCTGAAGACCTTCGGGTTCCGTAGCCTAGGATGGCCAGGGCAGTTGAACTGGGGCGAAGGCGTCGATGTAGTGGCGTTGTCAGTCATGACAGGCGGTAGCGTGCGGCTTCGCAGCTCCAGGGTGTAGCAACGAAGATTAACAGCACCTTCCACCAAATGTGATGAGGTTTATTAGCCGTTAAAGACAGCGACGATACAGCGTGAAGAACCGTCCAACGATCGGCACAGCAACGAACCGAAGCACGAGCCGAGAGAGCCGGGCGTTGTCGATGCTGCTTGCTGCAGGCACATCTTCTTCTTCACAAATATAACACTTTCAGTTCCTTTCGGCTATCATTCATACTGTGAACCCCGTTTCATGTTATGAAACATGATCGCCACTGCACTCAACTTTCCCAATGTCCATCCATCCATGCCGATTAACATTCGTGACAACTCCTTACATACTCTGACAGCCACTTACGTAAATTCAGACTTCCCGTCACACCTTGAAAGGGAGGTGCGAAGAGAATAGGGGATGATCACGAGATGAAAGGGTGTTCTGAGCAGACATAGACAGGAGAAAGGAGAACACCGACTTTCAATTGAAAATGCATGCCAATTGTTCCTTTACTATAGAGCTTCAATACGCGTTTCTATCCTTCGTAGCTCTGTCTGTCAGGTCGGCTGTCTGTCTGTCTGTCTGTCTGTCTGTCTGTCTGTCTGTCTGTCTGTCTGTCTGTCTGTCTGTCTGTCTGTCTGTCTGTCTGTCTGTCTGTCTGTCTGTCTGTCTCCACATGTGAAGTTGAGGTTCTGAGAAAGTGAGCCATGCGTGCACAAAATGCTGCCAAGAAAGCCACTCCTGGCTCATTACAACAACAGAGAGACGCTGTTGTCGAAACTTGGGATCCCTCGCGGCGTGCTTTGTTTAAGCATTTTTCAACACTGCATCGTGTAACCTCATTGCGTATGCTTTGCTGAATTGTGAGGCATACACGTTGTGGTGGCGTAATGCCATACGAGCGTGGTCGTCATACCCGCGAGGAATGCCGAAAGGCGTGCACGCTTTCCAGCGGTACATCTCCCAGATGGTGGCCATGGTGAGTGGCATGTGGACGTGGTCCGTCCACGTGGGCAGCCGCTCCCTGCCCACAACACGGTCGATCTCCCGGCGCACTTGCTCCTGCAGGCTGTCCGCACGGGCGGCGAACATGAGTATGTGGCTTTGCACGAACAGCGCCACCACGGCCGTGGCGCCCAGCAGGTAGTCGGTCGTGTTGCCCACTATATGCGGTCCTCTGTGGGTGTCAAAGTAAATAATCGCTGCCGATATTGCGTGACATGACGGCCCGTGCCACGGCAACTCATCATTCCTGAAGAGCTATGAATAGTAACTCACACTGACACTTGACGCGGGAATCAACTGCCAAGAAAGCTGTTGAGCATTGACATAACTTTACACGTCAAACAAAAGTTATTTAAAAATTAACAAATTATCCTGTTCTATTAGCGTTAAGCGGTAACTACTTCTTCGGGTGATTTATATCATAGTGATGTTGCATGTGGAAAAGAGAATGTTGATGTACAGCATGGGCCACTGTTGAAGGGAACATTCGATTGCACACCATCAATTTTCCTGGCCCTCTAAGAGCAAGTGGATTAAGAAACAATCTTCATGCAAGTCAATAGTTTGTCAAGAGGAATCGAAAGTTTTAACCACCAGTAGCCTTATGCATATCTAAGGCGCTATGATTCCGCAAGATAGCCAAATCTAAACATGCTGCTCACGCAGGTGTTTCCTTTAACACTGAACCCGTCTGTACGTTGAGATTTCTGAATGACTGCATAACTGTCTTGTTGTGGTTTGTACGACCAGACCACATGAGGTGGTGGGTTGTATTCAATAGATTTCACGCGGTATTTTGTAGTGACCGTGGTACAGCTGATATAAAAATTTCATGCGAGATACAGTTCTGTGATGAGTTAGTTTCTTTTATTTTGCACTGTCGCGAAGAACGGTCATGCTTAAAAAATGCGAGTATGTGGTGTATATAAACCTCAATGCCAAGTTTCGCACTCTTTTCCATTTCCGTGTTAATTACTTTTGATGCAGGTTTCCGATCAGATCTACATATTCTAATTTCGGTCGGACGAGAGCTCTGCATGCAGTCAATTTTACGGTTGACGATGTACGACGCAATTTTCGTGTCATAGGTGTTAAGGTTTTCACTCTCAAACGCACAGTATGTTTATGAGGGACGCCCCAGAGGAGCGATCCGGAAGCTTCAACCACCACCTGCGGTTCTTTAACTGGAGCCTAAATATAAGCACACAGGTGTATAGAACTTTCACCTACGGCGAAAACGCGGCCGCCGAGGCCGGGATGCCATTCCGCGACCTTCGCGCTTTGGCTAAAGGGAACTTGATGTTGATAAAGTCGTGCTTCACGACGCAAGGACCAGTTATGGCCAAACGACTGTAACTGGCTCATTCGTTTTATCAATTCGCCCAAAAGGTATTTGCGCTTAACACTGGTTAACTACGGTGTACCAACTAGTTCATGTGCGCACGTTGTTAGGCAAAAGAGCGCCGCGAAATAGCTATCGTGGTGTATTCACCTTGAATATGACGAATCATTTGTGTGTATGCTGCTTGTATGTTGGTATATGCCATGAGTGTGTGGCTTAACGGTTACGATGTGGTACCGCCAAGCATCAGCACGCGGTCTTGATTCCGTATTAGGAGGAACTACCGCATGTTGGTTGTGGAAGGGAGAGTGGGGTGCGCCTTCATCTAAGTGCACGTTAAAGAGATATGTAATATAATTTCGAGATGAACTTTACTCCATCATACTAATCACCCGTAGCGATCACTCCTAGCAAGCGCGAAGCTCTGTGAATGCCAATGAGACATATATTGAAGAAATATTTTGGACGCAACCCACATGAACAGAGAGAAAAAAAAAGAGACACTTGCAACTAACTTTATTTGAAAAAGAGCTCCTTTTTTGTATGCATGCAGACATATGCGCACTCAGTTGCGCAGGACATTACCAAACAATTCCATGCTTAACACATGAAGAAAGCAAAACATCAAAAATTGCGCTTCACATTTACGCAGGGTGACAGACGTCTTACGGACACACATGTCTCGCTTCACATTGATAAAATACGCCTCTATAAGTTCACGTGCCGCAGGGTTTTTGCTTCTTCCAAGTATGCGAATGTTTGTAAGGTCCGGCTCACACATGCGGGATTCGCAGTGCATGGGTCAATGGGCACTCATCCTTATGTTCATTTGAAAGCTCATGCTTCCTTGCCCGGTCATTAACGCATCGTCTGGTCTGGCCGATATATAATTTGCCGCAGGTAAGTGGAATTTCGTAAACCACGCACACCGCGCAAGGTACAAACGGTCTTGCATGCTTTTTACCATAAAGGGTCAAATTTCGCGCCGCTGCAGTGCGTGCACAGAGGCAATATGTCATTTGTATACCTTGCGCGGTGTTGGTGCTTCTAAAAGTATCTAATTAATTTTCCAGTGTACACTCGTGCTCACCAGTAAATTTTTTGGCCCTTGAGGACTTCGTTTTTTATATTACAAGAAAAAAAAACTCAAATTGTACTGGTAATCTCCCCTATAAGAAACCCCTAGCTGACAGTAAAAATAATCCTCAACTTCCAAACTCACCATGGGTGGGACGCCCAATCGTGTAGCTACACGAAATCTAAGAAATTGCTCGATTTCTTAACTCAACACCTTGCAAGCGAACGAGAGGTGCTATATATATGACAGAACAGAAAACAGCTGGAGCACTCGCCAGTAAACGTGTCGCCTTCGTTGCCAACGTCGTCCATTTTTGCTTTGTAGATGTCGATGACGGCCTTGTTACGCTGAGATTTATCCATGCGCATCGCTCGGTGGACTTCTCTTCTGCGAGACGAATATGCGCCCAATAATTAACATAAATGATCCTATCTATCTATCTATCTATCTATCTATCTATCTATCTATCTATCTATCTATCTATCTATCTATCTATCTCTATCTACTATCTATCTATCTATCTATCTATCTATCTACTATCTATCTATCTATCTATCTATCTATCTGTCTATCTATCTATCTATCTATCTATCTATCTGTCTATCTATCTATCTATCTATCTATCTATCTATCTGTCCATCTGTCCATCTGTCCATCTGTCCATCTGTCCATCTGTCCATCTGTCCATCTATCTATCTATCTATCTATCTATCTATCTATCTATCTATCTATCTATCTATCTATCTATCTATCTATCTATCTATCTATCTATCTATCTATCTATCTGTCTGTCTGTCTGTCTGTCTGTCTGTCTGTCTGTCTGTCTGTCTGTCTGTCTGTCTGTCTGTCTGTCTGTCTGTCTGTCTGTCTGTCTATCTATCTATCTATCTATCTATCTATCTATCTATCTATCTATCTATCTATCTATCTATCTATCTATCTATCTATCTATCTATCTATCTATCTATCTATCTATCTCGACCTATCTGTCTGTGTCTCGACCTGTCTGTCTCGGCCTGTCTGCTGGCGTGCTGGCCTAGCCATGCAGAATTGAACAGAAAAGTTTTTGAGTTTCACAAACCATCATGTACCATACCATAATGAGCCATGTGCACGTGCCTGTTGCGTCAGCGTTCGTGTTTCGCACTCGTGGTGTTTTCATGCACTTACTTTGACATGGCCTCAAGCTGCTTGGCCATGTCTTCGACGTGGACGCGTGGAGAAGTGGGCCACAGCCAGCGCTCGAGCGACTTCAACCAGCGTGGGCGACAGTCGATAGACGAGGCTGCACTGCCCAGAAGGAAGCCCTCGAGGTGGTCGTCCATGTCCTTCCGTCGTGGATCATCCAGGTCCAGGCGACGTCCCAACAGGAACGTGACCACGTTGTTGCACGCAGAGCAGAATATCAAGTCGCGTGTCTTGATGCCCGCACCCCCGAATCTGCCTATTGTGTCCACCAAATGCTGGCCTTCAGTCTGCGGGAAGTCGTCAAATAATGCATATTTATGAACACCTTAAGAGGCGGGAAGAGAGCAGTGTGGGTAAGGAAATGAGCGAGTGTTAAAGACATCTTAGTCGAAATCAAGACATGGATATGGGCACTGCAGCACGTAGGATTTATAACCGCTGGTCATTAAGTGTAACGACTGGATTTTAAGAGAAGGTATGAGGGGGAGACCGGAACTCAGGTGGGTTGATGAGATTAGGAAGTTTTTCGCATATAACATGGCAGCAGCAAGCACAAAATCGGGTTGACTGGCGGAACATGGGGACCGGGGCATCGTCCTTGTCCTGCAGTAGGATTTCAGGCCCAGCAGCAGTAGTCAGGTTAAAGATCATGATGACGATGATGATGGTGATAATGATGGTTAAAATGTAAGCCTCATATGCCCCAACAAACGCGAAAAACGCCCCAGTCAGTGCCAACACGAGGAATGCGAAACGTCACGTAATCAGAGTTTGCTACTTAATGACGCCACCATACCGTCACATAGCCGAAGCGTATCACGTGAAGACGTCATCGCTCTAAATTGCTGCATGGTCAAGGTGGGACCGATCTGGAAGGTAGGGCAATACCATTTGAGACAGAGAATAATGATAAAAGAAAGACCAGTGCTGAGCCCGGTAGGCTACCCTGCAGTGGAGAAAGGGAAATAGGCAAAACAACTTACAGGAGAAAAATCACAGCATATCCACGGAGTGAATGATGATTGGCGGGGCGAAGCGTTTGTTGGTCTGTCCGTGCTTCCGCCTATCTATTCGTTCTTGTTTCCGTCCGTCCATGCGTCTGTTCGGCCGTGCGTCCGTCCATGCGTCCATCTGTACGTTCATTCTTCCGTTTGTCCATTCATTGGTCCAGCCGTCCGTCTGTCCATCTATTAGTGAACCCTCCAAGTACATTGATCTCACATCTTTTTATCATGTATTCACCATATACAAGTACCACCATCCAGCGGACATTCTAAGGACCACTCTTTCAGGTATGTGCCACCGGTGGTTCCGCACTAACGAGAGACGCACAAGCCACGCCATTAGGAGCTTCGTCTCTAAAAAGCACTGTAGCCGCCAGGGCTGCAGCAGTTTTGCGTCTTACATCACAGACGGTGAGGCCAGTCCCGTAGCTGAAATCACAGCAGTCCATTCGTTGATCTCCGCTACTTGTATGCGCAGTCCCATACTTCCAAGATCATGTCGATGATGAAGCCGTTGGGGCGGTGCTTGTGTTGTCAAGTGATAGACTTCTGTAAACTGGCGAGAAGTGGAGTGATGGTGTCGAGCAGTTTGAACTCGTTCCGAGCCATCGGCACCTGCACCTTACTCAGCAACAAACGATTGGCACAGTCTGGGGTGGTGATCGTGCCGAGAACTTGTCATCTTTATCCGCCAGTTTATCGGGTGCTGATGAGCTTGCCGTTACTGCCAAATCTAACGTCCCTCATCAGGCGCGAGTAGCTTTGGGAGTTCAGGCCAATCTTCAATCGCGTTGGTGGTAGAAGTTTCCTTGTTCTTAGGCACGGCTAAGTTTGACCTGGGTGGTATATATGAAGTGACAGCTGCACTGCTGGCTGAAGAGTCTTTTTCCTTAGTCCTGACGGTTTCTGACCCGAAAGGCAGAGGTGACGGTATTGCACCTGGTTCGCTTGGCAATGAGGTGCTGAAGGCCTTGGTGCACAGTTGAGGACAGGACCACTCTCACGTAATGGTTGCAGCTGCTTCTTAGTACGAAGAATGATCTTGAACCTTTTCTCCATTATTGCTCTCTCCTTTCGTATAACAGCGAAATGCCTTGAAGAAGCGTCCGGGGGCCCGTTGCAATTTGCACATTTCAGCATCGTAGGCTGGCACATGCTCGTTGTGTGGGGCCCAGTGCATCAGGAACAAACGGTGGCTTTCGTGCACACACTACTCACGTGACCTATATTCAAGCACTTCCAGCACTGAAGTAGTTTCGGCCCGAAAGACCAAACTGCATGCCTAAAATGGCCCACTGTCACGTGTGGTGGGAGTGCCTCGCTCTTAAATGTAATCTTGACGCATTGTGATGTGTGTATGCGACACACACTAGCAATAATGATGTCTACTGACGCAGGCTTGATCAGGACTGGTAGGTCGTTTTCGGTAATGGTTTCGTCAATATCATAAATTACCCCACTGATCTTCTCTTTGCCGAATAGTGGCCATCAAGTACCGCGACATTGCGCAATGTGTGAAGTACAGTCATGTGATCGACGTCATTTGCTAGGATGTTCTTATGGGTATTCAGTCTGACCTCCTTGATTTCATTTGGTACAAGTGCCTATAGATGTGCAGACACGGCGTGCTGGTTTGGAGATTTCATGTTGTCAGTTGCCCGAACTGGCAGGAAAAGGATAGTGAATACCTCGGTATTGCGTGAACACCACAAGGCGGACTCACCTGAACTGGATGAAGTGCTCAGCGGCCGTTTCTTAGCCTTGCGCCTCTTCACCAGCCCGAAAATGCCATCAGCAGGAGCGGAAGTTTTTCAAAGCCTCCAATTTTAGAGACCGCGGAAAAGCGCGAAAAAGCTCCCCCGTCCAAGCGCTCCGTACAGATGGTTTACCAGTGAAGTCAGAACGTGCGGTCGCAGGTAGTTGCAGCCGTCGCAGCCGAAGCCAAATAGCCACGCAAGAAACTCCTGTCGAAAGTGGGCGTTCGCTTCGGTGAACACGTTCCCGTATACTTGACACGTTGACGCTGCCCTGCCAGCAACCAACAGGCCCACATTGGCGCCCTTGTAGGTGCAGAAAACTTTCTTAGGGGGGAGGGAGCATCAACACATTGACTGATAAGAAGTGTAATAAAAAATGGTCTGAAGCAAATGCAAGAATGTTTGATTGATTGATTGATTGAAATGTGGGGTTTAACACCCCAAAATCACCATATGATTATAAGAGACGCTGTAGTGGAGGGCTCCGGAATTTTCGACCACCTGGGGTTCTTTAACGTGCACCCAAATCACAGCACATAGGCGTACAGCATTTCTGGCAGGAGAGTTGTAAACTTATTTCAGATTGACTGCATTTCAGATAGAAAGCTGACTTTCTAGTTGTCCTAAAACGTCATAGTAAGCAGCGGGACATATTTAAAAGTTTAAGTGGGCGTTTATAAAAACAAAACAATGGCCATGCACGAACCCTTATAGTTGACTTACTCCCCGTCAAGAGACAGCACCTCTCATCACTGCAGTACACTGTGAAATGTCGAGGATAGTTAAGGTATTAGACAAATAATCAACACAAATCCCCGACTTCAGGCACCCACCGTTGAAGTTTAGCAGGTAAGATGTCGTGCTGATAAGCAGAGACGCACTGGCTCACTTGTCATCTGTATAACTCTGCGTTCTTTCGAGCCTCCTTCTTTGTCGGCAGGTTGCAAGTTTGGAGCTGCTTGTCATTCTTCGCGTGGCATTTCAATTTCTTCTGAGCCCATTTATACCTTCGCCCTAAATACCCGGAGAAAAGTAAGCCGCAACTACAGTCGCACGGCACTAACACATGTATAGGGTCATGTGTTAGGTAGGCAGCACATGACTCTAGCCTGTGGGAATGTAGCACGGTGTCGTCATCGGCGGGTATCATGTGCGATAGCCCTCTCGAGCAGTAAGAGGCAGTGCTGGCCAGCTGACCCCCATGGTGGTCCAGACAAGGGCAGTGGGGTAGGACACACGGGTTGCCATTAACCTTGGGTTGATGGCCACCTAACACGGAGTCGTGCACAGCGGCAGCTTTCCGTCGAAATAAAGTTTTTCCACCTATCTCCGTTCACTCAAAACTGCGACCTTTCCGTGTGTGTTGGTGTTATTTAAAGTGAGTATAAATACACGGAGATACAACCAATTCGCCCCAATCAAGTACAGCCAATATCAGAATCTTGAATCAGCGGTGGAAATTCATTATATACACATCCCTTCATCTGATTGCACGTTTCTTGGCCAACCCCCAGAGTGGGCGTGAGCTATACATTTAGACAATGATCATGGCAATCATATACACATGGCGCAAGTGTATGTGTCCTGCGTTATTAATTGTCATGTTCACCAAGAACAACATGTCTATAAATCTCTTTCGCCCCTGCTTTTAACGGGGTCGTTAACCGCTCCTGCCGCACATGTCCTGTAAGCATGTCATCCGCTTTTTACGAGTCACATGTAGCTGCTACAGCTCGATTTGAAAACAGCAGCCCAGCAACGACCTTCCTCGGTCAAATAGATGCTTTATGGCCAATGCGCTGTTTTACAGCGAAAGCTGTTATGCGATCACAACTCGGGTCACGCGCGCCGCCGTAGTTGTCCGCCGCCGTCACCCGTGTCCGTAACCACATCACACGAAATTAGAAAAAAAAAGACTTAGTAGTCACACACAGTCATAGTAGTCACACACACGACATGGTGAGGCTCGAACCCTGGTGCCAGGGTGCTAGTACAGTATTCGACCACTGAGCCACTACGCCACTGCTTGAAACTTGCTGGCAAACTTGCCTTAGGCAGGCTTGATGTCGGGAAAGCATTCGCGTTAACGAAAAAAAAAAAACAACTAGTCGTTGCACAATGCCAATTGCGTAACGAGTTGGCTGTCCAACGCTCCAAACCATCACAAAAGCTTGTTATTGTTCCCCTATCAACTGCGGTGCCTACCCACTTCAAACATAATTCCTCATCGTCATCAGCCACTGCATCAACAATGGGCACAAAATTCCTTGCAGCTGTTTAGCGGATACTACGCTTCTCAAAAGAACAACGAAAAATAGCAAAGCCAATTCCAGCCTACTGGCCAGAAAATTTTATTATTAATGCCATATAGTGGGTATCAAGCAAGTGCGATTGCAGCAGTTACGCAATGAGTGTTTAGAAAAGGCTCTGCATGGCTGCTCTTCTAGCTTTCGCTGTGACTGTGCTGCACCTTCCACGCAGGCCTGGCGTTTTTAGAAAGGCCATTAAGTCAGCCGGGATTTGCAGCTTTGTCGAAGAAACGAATGATGCTTTTATGCCTTTGGTGACTTTGTGCACTTACTTTTATGTGGTTTTAAATATTTATAGAGAATCTCGGCGGCTTCGCTAAATATTCTACCTATCGTATATAGTCTGCATGCTAGAAGTGTTGCTTTAATGCATTCATGAAAAAAAAGCCTCATAATTGAAATATCCCGGCTTAACGTGTTATTTAAGGGGCACTACAGTTGTGCGGGACTTGAGCCTACGCTGGTTGTTTCATTTGCCACAGATGCGATATGGAGCAAAGAAAGTGTTTGGAAAGTTAATTGGAGCGTGAGCCCTTTTTGAAAGTGGATAACCAGCAAAGCTATGTCACCCTCGACAGATG